TATCTGAAAATAGTCTCTCAGGAGGAGTATTTGATATAAAAACACTAACATCATAAAACATAATTTGAGTGTGCTGATTTTTCAAAAAACAAATACAACAAGACATCAATGGTCTTTCACTTATAATATATGTATAGTAAAGAGAAATAAAGTAGTTTGTTAATATTTCTCCATAAATACAGGAAAGCATTTTCTATTATGTAATACGTTTTTGTTTGTGTTTTCAATTATTAAGGTTAAACAATTAAGTTAGTTCAATGGAAGCCTTGAAAACATCGATTCAATTGACAAACAACAGGGGTTACACTGCTTTCCAAGTATACACCGACTCTGAAATCAGCTTTAAAATGATTCAAGGATTCAAAACAGTACCTGGATACTTGACAGACACAGTGAAGACCATCAACGACCTCCGTCTACGGAACTCCATCTCCATCGCCTTCTGTTCAAGAGAAACCAGAAATGGTAAAGGGGAGTATGCTTTACCAAAATATCCTGAGTCTGTAACAGTGTGCTTTAAAAGGAGATGGAGTAACAGTACATTCATCACATATACAGACTCAGAACATTCGAAGATCCCAAAATATCACAGACCAAGGACACGCTGCAGTACCTGGGCTCCTCGCAGGTCTGATTCAGAGTATGAACCGTCTAAGAGTGGCCTACCGGATATCGATCTGCCATCGCCAACGAGAAACCAAAGATCTTCAAACGACCTGCAAACATTCACACTGAAAGATCTTCCTCATAGGGTCAGAAAGGAGATAGGGAAGGAGTCGATCACTTACTTCGGAGATACGGGTTGAACAACCAAAGCTTCGAACCAAGGAAGAAGCAGCCCTTCACGAAGGTTCTCTATCTCTCTCGCTGCAAACGAATAAAAATCTCCCAAATCAAAAACATCCGGTTTTGGCTTTGGATTATTAGGTTTCAACGGGAGGCATTCCATATATTTGGACTCTTCCTCAACTAATAGCCAAATGGGCTACACACTCAACCCACATCACTTGATTAAGCCATATTCTACTCCTCAATGTATTAATTGTGGCTATCTTTTAATTTTAGGATCTCCGAATGTACTGTTAGTCTGTTACTCTCATATTAATATAATAAAAATGGTAAATGTTCCCCGACATTTACCACACCTGAACGAGTGATTCTAAAAAAAAATAGGATGTTTTTAATTAGATTAAAATTTTCTGGTCTGAACTGACCTGGTTTGGTAAATGTTTAAATTCTGTGTATTTTGTAAGTATGCAAGTCTGGTCTGATGTGGTCTGGTTTGGTCTTTGACTGACAAAAGTCCAAATAAAAACATCTCAATTGTAACTTTATCAACAAGAACGTAATTTTTTTGTTTCACGCACTAAATTGTGTAACTTTTCGGACTGAATTGGCTGAAATTAATGAAGAGGACTATTTAGCTATTTTTCATATAGTTTTTTTTAATAAAATATTTTTTAAATATAATTTTTTCATAAATTACCAGATTCAGCCAAATCAATCCATTTCAGCAAGAACATCATAAATTGCAACAAAATAAGCCGATTCAGCAAACTTTAGTGAATATCAAAAAAATTGGTAAAACAGTCCACATTTTTTCCCACAATGCCAAATAAAAATATGAAACAATGATTTTTTTCAATATTACTAAAATATAGGTATTGATTATTATCAAGTTAATTAATACAAAATTAGTGTGTTGAAAATAGTTAAGACATATAATAGCATGTATAAAAATTCACTTTTTAGTATATCTAATTAAAGTTGTTTTGATATATTAGAATTCTAATAGCCAAAATTTCAAAGATAAGTACTACTCCCTCCGTCCCAATTTGATTTGCAAAATTTCCTATTTTGGTTGTCCCAAAATGGTTTTCCAATCTCTATTTTAGGTATGTAAATAAGAATAAAATGACAAATTTACCCTTACTTTTACTTTTTCTCCATTAACTCAAAGGCATCTACTTTTGGAAAGATGGGCAAAAATGTAAAAAGAAACTTCATTTATTATCATTTCTTAATCCTTATGCCGATCAAAGTTTGCAATTCAATTCGGGACGGAGGGAGTACGTATTAGTGTGACCACGATACGTACAAAGCTGAAGAAAAAGTATTTTGATGGTTAAACAAATAAAAATTTATATGAAAAATAACTAAAATGATTCTCTAAAGTAACTTCAACAAATAAAGCCAGAAATGTAACTTCAACCTTATGTTTTCTTATTATTACACAATTAACGCGAAGACCAAGATTTACGTGTTTGGTGAAAAAAGTGTCTGATAAGCTTGATAAGGCGAAAACCAGGGTCACCAAATGGGCTCTAAATTAGATAAGTGTTCCCCGACACTTACCACTCCTAAATAGGTGATTTTCGGGTTTGAACAAAAATCACCTTTGTCAACTGTGTGTGTCAAGAATCAAGCATGTATTCACCAATTTTGAAAACATGTCCATACATTTAAGAAAAACGCAAATAAAAAAATCAGATGAAAGCCTTCCTCTGAGACTACTTCTCAATTTTTATTCCATTTTATTTTATTTTTTAAATAGTAGTTAGTGAATTTCATGCCCCAAAATGCATTTTTTAAATACGGAGTAGCAGTTAGTGAATCACAGGTCCCCAAACGCTCTGGATTAACCTATTACAACAAATCTAAGAAACATACTGTACATTTTCGTGTATTCTAAAAATTATAAAACTTATTTTATAAAAATAGTGTTCGAACTCATCATGCATGAACAAAAACATATTTGAACCAATACATGTGATAACCTGACGATAGACATCTTTGGTAGATCGATGAGCTATTTACTTTTTATAGTCATATTACGTTCCATTTTCACATTGACATGCATTTTAGAAATCAAATCACCCACCATGTATTACACATGTGCTATACTAGGAGATTATTATTGACCTTTCCCCCATAAAGAATGATACACCTTTTGCCAAGGCTTAAATGATTAGATATGTGAAAAATGTTAATAGATGAGTGACATGACGAAATTCTAATTTGCAAGAGTGTAGGTAAAAAGTTTTAATGCCAAAGTTCTCTTTAAATTATCAAGGTTAGAGTTCCTAGCTTCTTAGATTTTAAATGCAACAATATAAAATATTAAAAAATGCTATCAACCATGGACAATTATTCATCATTATCTCAAGGTCTACAAATCGTTTTCATATTGAAATACTTATTTAAGTCGAAGATGAAAGACATCTGGAAGAGACCACCAATGTGGTATATCCGGTGTTTTGTAACATACAATCTTTTTTAGAAGAAACATACAATCTTGATTATATTAAACAACATTTAATACTCATTATGCCATTTTTGTCACAACATTAACCCGCGTTGTACTGTCGAACTATTATGTTTATTTCACACTTTGAAGTTATTTAACAATCTTATATTACCTTAGATTTCTTATAACAACCACTCATTTTTTTTAAAAAAAATACTCACACACCGTGCATCGCATGGGGGCTATACTAGTCTAATGTAATATGATACTTTTGAAATATGAGTTAGTATGACATTTTAAAATAAGCATAACATTAGTACCAAATGAGCAAACATAACTTAAAAAATGAGTATCACAAATTCAAAACGTCATTTAAAATCGCTAATGTACTCAAACAGTCATTTGTCTATACTCATATCTGCTAATCCTTATACTCATTTGAGTATAAGATAAATTGTTATCTATTATATGAACATGTAATAAATTTATTGTTAATAATTTAGTAGTTGTTCTTCGGTCTTGCGACAAGGCTGGATGGACAGAAAGTGGAGGCGGCGGAAGACAAGCAAGTGATGACAGTGGGGGCCGTGCGGCGGCGAAAGACAAGCAAGTATTGGTGGCGCTGGACGACCATCAATCAAAAGCTACTATACCTTCTAACGGTAACACCCACAACATCAACGCTGGTTAATTATTAATTAAAAAGATATTACCTGAAATATGACTAAAACAATTTGAAAATTCCAAAATAGGACTGTCACGTTTTTATTCCCAAAATAGGACTAATTACTTCCATGTTTTGGCAGTACTAGACTTCAAACATGACAGTATTTTCTAAACATGACAGTAATTAGTCCTATTTTGGGAATAAAAAACATGACAGTCCTATTTTGGAATTTTGAACTTGTTTTAGTCCTATTTCGGGAAATTTCCCTTAATTAAAGCTTCAAACTTTTGAGTTCTATCCGATTTAATTATTTCCATGTTTTGTGATTTTGTGATTTTTTCTTTCATGAACCGATAAGAATGTCTAATTGTTTAACTCCTCTTTTTCTCAGTCTGCATATAAGGAATTTATGTCATACATATTAATAAAAAGCAACACAAAAAAGATGGCCACTACGAATATCGAAGCAGAGATGTTGATAAGGAAGCTTCTCAATTACAAGGAAAACGTACAGAAAGATTTGGTCGCTGCCTGAACAGGAAAAGAAATTGGACAGAAAAATAAAGAAGAACAACGATGATAATGAACCCAATTATTACCAAAAACCCGGATGTACCATGCATACGATAACGAGTGTACCTTATAATTCGGCGTGTTTGAAAGAAAGTGTAAAAATACTTTTAGATGCTCCAAATTACACCAAAAGTAGTTTTTTAGAAGTTGAAAGAAATATTTCTTAAAAATTGATTCTCATTGTGGTTTTGTTTTTAAGAGGAGAATCACTTCCAAATAACTTTATAAACACGCCCCACCACCGGTGGCCGTAGCTCAACTGGTAGCAAGGGAGTGCCACAAGGGTTAGGTCTCGGGTTCGAATCCCGGCAACTGCGATGAGGGGTTACTATGCTAAAAAATGCATGGGGCTTCTGCAAGTATCGGGGACAAAACCTCACTCTCTATCTGTCAAATTGGGATTATAATCTAATTTATATCCTCTCAACGTACCATTCGGTCGAAATTAGGAAGCCTCGGGGATGAGGTGTCATCTTTTTTTTATAAACACGCCTCCACCAAGGTATGAAACGTGTGACATATGCAAAATACGCCCACGCTACACATTTTCAGATTCTTGAAAGAACAAATGGTTCTCAGCTTGCCACCACCTCACTAGCATTTCTTTCCTTTCCTTCTCTCTGTTTCCACTATTTTCCATCGATAAATCACAGTGAATATTTTCACTTCATTCGATCAAACATATCACAATTCTTTGCCTTCGATTCGTAGGAATTAGAGTTAGGAGGTACGCAAGAGAAGATGGCTCAGTTGCTTTCCCCTGTTCGTACAGATTCCATCAAACTCCAGAGTCATGTACACAATTCAATAACTGGAATCAAGCGGCCTACTTTAGACAATACTAAAAGTAGAAGTTTGAGGTCTCATGGTGGATCGAGGTGGAGAGGCTTTGGCAGCATTAGAGTTACTTACCAAGACTCTGCTGCAGCTGACGATCTCGCTGATGATTACTACGCTGTTTTAGGCCTGGTAATAATTAAACACTACTCCGTATTAAAAATTTCATATTTCACCCTCTCATTTCAAAATACTTAGGTTTTGTTTGGGTGGGTTTGGGCTTTGGAATCAAATTGCTTGGAGTGGAATCGCTAGAAGGAATTAGGTATAGCCGTATAGACACATTTGGAATAACCAGAATCCACACAATTCCAAGCAATTGTGCAAAACCCATGGTATAACGGAGAATTTCTATGCACACAATTTCAGTTATTGAAGATTCCTATCAGCAAATGAACTCCCATAATCCCATTCCAAACGTGGCACAGGGAATTTCCAGAATGGAGTGCCTATTCTATCACCTTTAGTTCTTACAGAATTGCATTTATCACAATTCACAAGCTCCTTAAGCGTTTTGGATCCCAGAAAATACTAGGGAAATGAAAGAAATTTTAAACAAAGTTATTTTCTTTGTTTGAACTTAACTAGAAAAATGCAAAGTAAAAGGAAATATGACTGATATTCTTTTATTTTTATATACTAGATTTCTCAATATTTATATGATAGAAGTAAATAAATAAAAACGAACTTTATAAATACTTATTGAGTTTCTCTTCCACTCCCAGTTTCTCTAATACTTTCCTCGTTGTCATCTTTCTCCAGAATTTTCCACTTTCCAGACGGACTAAAGTTGTATCTTTATGTTAAGGTTCAAAATGAGAAAGCACAATTTTCACAGGGCATGTGGGTACTGATTTGGCACTTTAGCCTTTAGTTAATGTCAAATTGGATGCTAATCACATATTGAAATTTGAAAGATATTTCAGAGAGGTGGATGGGTAATGAGACTCTGTTTTATTGGATTCAATCTTTTAGTTTGGCTTACCCATGTGCATTAAGATCCTACTGAGTGATCCTTATCCAATTATGCATTTCATTAGATATATTAATGATTTGACATGTAATTACATATGAGATTGAGTAGTTTTGGACTTCTGGTTGATTAAAAGTAGTCTAGGGAAAGATGGTTTGAGTTTGACATGAACCACAGGACATAGACACACTTATGATGTTTCCTCTTGACTTCTTGGTATTGACAGCTTCCAGATGCTACAACTGAAGAAATAAAGAAAGCATATTATAATTGCATGAAAGCTTGCCATCCAGACTTGACGGGTGATGATGCTGATACCACAAACTTCTGCATGTTTGTCAATGAAGTTTATGAGGTGGGTGCTCCCAAATTTATAATTCTGTCACATGTATACTACATTACTCCCACGAAGTATTCAATTTCTTGTTTCTTTCCTACTACACTCACAACTGATTATTGTACCAGTTCAGGTTCTAAGTGATCCTGCACAAAGGCTAGTGTATGATGAGATTCATGGTTATGCTGCCACAGCTATTAATCCTTTCTTGGATGAATCTTCCTCAAAAGATCATGTTTTCGTTGATGAATTTAGCTGCATAGGTACATGCAAGGACTTGGCCTTGTAGTACTTAACTAGTTATGTTGATAATTCTTGCTTAATTTTCTCAAATGTAATTTCTAAATTTCTTCAGTGTGTTTTAAAATACTTCATTAGATATTACAAAGTAGTATATTATCAATATGATAAATTGTAATATGTCTGTCCCACTATCTTTAGGACAGTGGCACACATTAAGGAAAATGGAATAATGTGGTTGACATTAAATTTGTAAGTATAATTAATTTGAATGACAAAAATATTACCAAATATGGCATGAAACAAACTTAGTGATAGTGGGACACTGGGACACATGAAATGAGTAACTAAATACTTTGATTCAAGTCTCGTTAACCGAAAGTTGCACGTAAAGTAGGAGGGATGGAGTATTCCTTACAGGCCATTCTAAGAAGTTGTTTGGAGTTTATAAGCACATCTTTAGCATATGTTAGGCATCTCTATTAAACAAGTATCATTTAGTTAAGCACGGTTATTCACTATACCTTCCTTTGCTTTTTGTGCCTTTAGACAACTCAACATTTTCAGCAAACCATAATTTACCTGTAAAATAAAATTAATGAAAATATGGCATTAAGTGCCAGCATAGGAAATTAGGGGGTGAATATAAATATATCTCATACAAGGACGCATAATTTTCGACAAGTAACACGTGCCACATGTACACTTATTGTTAAGCTGTTTCGTTTTTGAACCATCAATTGTTTATAGATTATATATAAATTTCTCTAATTCTAAACATCCCAAGTAAATCTTTCTACAGGTTGCAAAAACTGTGCCAATGTGTGTTCAACGGTGTTTGGTATTGAGGAAGACTTTGGAAGAGCTAGAGTTTATAATCAATCTGGAAGTCGGGAACAAATTCAACAAGCTATCGATAGTTGGTAGGTCCCCTCCCTTTCCTTTTACCATTTGAAAAAGCGAGGTCTTATAGTTTGATCAGTTGCTTTGCTGCTTTGGGGGAGAACGGAAAACTGACTTGTGTGAATAAACTTATGGCATTAAAATAAGTGAAGTCGTGGTCATGTTCCATGATTTGCATGCATGTTGGTTTTATGATTTAAATCTTGTAATGGGATGTGACCATATCTAGTATCTCAACCCATCGATTTCTCCGTGATTTTTTCCACGCAAGTTGTCAAGTTCAGCTGACCCCAAACTTTTTGGGACTAGGCTTGGATGTTGTTGTTGTTGTAAGTGGTCAAGTTGAGAACTCTTTGGTGTGATGTTTTTTGAAATTCCTTCACACTATTCATTCATAAGAAACTAAGAAAGTTGTGATAAGAAGACCATCAAGTGCAAAAATTTTTTGTTCGTATTTTTGCATGGATTTTTAGGTTTAACTAATGTTAAAGTTTATTGACTCATTATATCATGTCACTCGGCAAACTCAAGATAGTTGAGATTATGGTTTTGAGGATTATGATGATGATCACAAATCTTACTATTAGATAAGAAAGGATATGTAGTTATTAGTTTCTTTTTTATTTCAGCCCAGTTGATTGTATCCACTGGACTTCAGCTGCACAGCTATCTTTGCTTGAAGATGAAATGCGAAGAGTGGAAAGAGTAAACGTGAGCTATATGGCTATATTTCATGATATTATATATACATATGCATGTGTGGTTTTCACCATTTTCCCTTAATTAACTGACAGGTAGCCTTAATGCTTTCGGGAATGGGCTCGGCATCAATTGATGTTTTCAGAATGGTATCTTCTCTCTTTCCCTTGTAAATCTAAGAAAATGAATGTACCTGCCAAACACCCCCACCGTGATGTACCCTAAGACTCCATTACCATAATTACTTCTAGCCATTTCTTGTGCTTTTCACATTTTCTTTTATTAATGTTTAAAGATAAACCACAAAGTACCTTTTAAAGAAAATAAGAAATCTCGATACTGCTTTTTGTTAATGTGTAAATACTTAGAATTTGTTAGTGGGTTGATGTTGATAAAAATTTGAGCAATCCAATGGGTTGGTATTGTTTAACTTTTTTAAAAAAAATTCAAAAATGTGATGCCAAATTTGAAAAGAAGAAATTAACGAGATGCATTTGAATGCTGCAGGCAAGCACTCGATGGGAAAAGAGACAACTAAAAGTCCTGGTACAAACTCATTGGCATGAACATACACACGTTTTCCAACAAGCCTTTGTACTTTTATCACGAAATAAATCTGTTGCAGGAAAAAGCTAAATATAGGATGGTGAGGCAGAAAGAATATGATAAAACAGATCCATACTGGAGCTACATTTGGGGAAAGCCCATGACCAATGAAAACACAGGTAAACCCCCGTCCCATTTAAATGAGAGATTTTTCGTCTTCATTTTTTTATTATTCGAGACAAAGATGGCATAAGAAATAGTGGAGAGTACTCTCGGAGAGGCGGTGTTGACAAAACGAGCAATTTCGTCTTATTATTTGGTTTGAGCTTTTTAATTTGTTTCAGAGGAGGAAGCAGACAAACGAGCAAATCGAGCTGCTGCTGCTGCCCGAAGATGGAGAGAGTACTCTCGGAGAGGGGGTGTTGACAAACCTCCCATCTATAATCTTCCAGAGGTGTCTTCCAAGGATAGCTGAAGTATATATTGCCCAACTCACTCTCCTGTTATATACTTATAAGTAGAATGTAGTGGTAGTAGTTCATGTGTGTATATACCATTAACAAGGTTTTATATGACTTACATGGTGCATATATCCTTTACACCATGCGCTGTTCACAATGTTACTTTTGTTTATTATAAATAATAAAGAATCTTAGTAAATTGAGTTCCATGTTGGTATTCTGTCACCTCATTTCATTGCTTATTACTTAAAGAATTGTGCCGGCTTATTCATTTGATCATTTCCTTTTCAAATAAGCCGTGTTTGATTCACACGCTTATTTGATACTCCGTATGTTTCTTCTCCTTCTCCTTCTTATTAATACTGTTTTTATTTTAATTATATCCTTTTAGGGCATTTTATCTTTTAAACTAAGCTTATCAACTACTCCCTCCGGTCCTTAATTAACTTTACACTTTCCTTTTCGGGTCGTCCCATATTAAACTTTGGGAGAATTATACAAATAAGACTAAAACATTTCAATTTTCTAAAATTAGGACTGCATTCTGGCTATTGTACATATTTTGACTGCACATATTTTGACTATTGTACCCTTACTTTATAATCAATTGCTCGACCCAGGAAGAAATTGCAACGATGACTCTTCTTCGGAGCGAACTTGGCGGAGAGCATCAACAAGCTTCCAAATCCTACGAGCTTTCAAATCGATCGCTCCATCTGATCTTTCCCTTGGTGGCGGCGACAGTCCATAAGAAGTCTCCTGAATAGTATATGTCAACCACGGTAGATGTAGTCTCATTTCTTTGACGGACTTGACAGAGAACATCCATAAGCTTCGTCGAGTAGATCTGTTGGGCAGCCTCACTCTGCGACCTGAGTCCATCCACACATGTAGGTAGCGTCTGATCCCGATCTGAATCGCCGGTTTTCCTCCGCTTCTTCGCTGATAGGTTTGAGCTGACATTAGGATTTGTGATCTAAGATGATAATTCCATTGTATCAATCAGAGAAGTCCATGAGTTTCTGAAGCAGAACGCTCCTCTATATTTGTGGTATTACAGACCGGAACTTGGAAGCAGGAATTTAGAGATTCAATAGCAACCGAAAATTGAAGTGCATGAGTAGACAATAATTAGTCCTTAATGGCATATGCACAGTCAGTGGACTCGGGCCGGTTCGGGCCCGGTTCGGGCCTGGGCCCGGCCGGGCCTCGGTTCTAGGAAGGCAGGCCCGGAACCGGCCCGGATAACCCCGAGTCCGGTTCGGTTCGGGTCACCCGCCCGGCGGGCCGGGCCGGGCCTATTTAATTTTTTTTTAATTATTATATAATTAGAATAAATCTTATTACAATTACAATATATTATATTCGAATTGAAGTATATTTATTTCAAATAAGAAGTACAATTGAGAATTAGGATGAATTTAAAAAATGTAATACATTTTGTAATAAAAAATCAATCGGACTCTCCGCCTTCGGTTGTTTCCTCCATAAAGTGGCGGGAGGGAGTGATGGTAATTTCTTGAGTTCTTCGTTGGGCCTTCAACCAATCGTGAAAGCAAACTAGTGTCTCAAGAGAGCTCGGGCTCAACCTCGTTCTATAATCGGTTAGGACGTTGCCGGCCGCACTGAATTCTTGTTCCACGGCAACGGTTGATATCGGCATTGCTAGTACTTGCTTAGCCATCTTTGATAAAATCGGGAATGTTCTTTCATTTTCCTTCCACCACTTAAGAACGTCAAAGTCATCACCAACTTCATAATCAACATTCAATGTTAGATACAAAGAAAGCTCGTTACCTGAGCTTTGTTCAGTAGCGGGAGTTGCTCTACTTTTTTTCAAAAGAGAACCAAAAGCGGATTTTAAAAGTGATTTTCCTTTAGATGAAGAAGATGTTCGTTGCATGGGAGGGGGTGCATTACCATATTGTGCATGAAATTCATTATACAATTGATGAAATAAATTACTAACCTCGTTGAATTCTTGTTTAGGGTCGATGGGATTATCATCGAACTCTTGAGTTGGAAAAAAAGAAGCATAATAGTAATCTATACAATTTGCCAAGTAAGGAAGTTTATAACGAGGATCAAGAACAAATGCAATACCATATATATGCGGAATATGTGAATAATATTTTAAAAACTTTTGTTTCATGAAATCACAAAAATAACTAACGTAAGTGGCGTCGAAAAATTCACAAAAAGCGCCGGCGAGATTAACAGCTTCAACAAAAAATTCGTTTGCGGTAGGTTTATAAACATGACTAAAAGTTAGAATTGCGTTATTAAAATATGCCAAAACATTAACAATTTTTTCACAAGTGTCGATGTCAGCCGGGTTTATAATATAGTTACAAGTTTGTCTTAAAAAAGCTGGAAAATGATCTTTATGAGCCCGTTTGGTAGCACGAAAATCGGCTGTTTTGGCTGATTCTGCTGAAATTTATGAAGTTCTGGCTGAAGTGGCTGCATTGGCTGATTCTGCTGATACAAGAAAAAAATATTTTTAAAATATATTTTATTAATAAAATAAAGAAAAAATTATATGTAAAAATAGCTAAAATGATCATCTACAGTAACTTCAGCCAATACAGCCAGAAAAGTAACTCCAACCTTACTTTTTCGGCTTATTACACAATTCAGCGTGCGAAAGCAAACTTTACGTGTTTGGTAAAAAAGTTGGCTGATAAGTCTGATAAGCTGAAAATGAGGGTTGCCAAACGGTCTCTATATCTAACAAGTACTTGAATTAAATTATAAGTACTATTCCAACGAATAGACAAATCTTTAGGAAAAGCACAATAATTCACACGTCTATCCTTCAAATATTGCCGCCATTGCATTTTTAGTGGAGTGTTAGCCCAAATCAATTTAATTCCCCCCTTCACTACCTCCAAAGCATTTCCTAATGTCGCTAAGCCATCTTGTACACACAAATTTAGAATATGACATGCACAACGTTGATGAAAAAATCTACCCATCAATGTAGAAGCACCACACAATTCACGTAATCTAGGTATAGCAGCAGTATTATTACTAGCATTATCAAAACCTACAGCAAACACCTTATCAATCAAATTATACTCAATTAAAATACGTTCAATGAGAATATAAATATTATCAGCAGTGTGACGATCATTGAATTCACGAAAAGCAAGAACACGTTTATGCATATTCCAATCATCATCAATATAATGTGCAGTTAGACCCAAATAATATAAATGATGATAAGTATCCTCCCATATATCGCTACAAATACTAACACGTCCATCAAAGTTTGCGAAAAATATTTGTAATTTTTCTTTTTCCAAGTTATATTGCCTTATAACTTCTTTTTTAATCGTTTTGCGACTATAATTTCTAAATTGAGGATTTAAAGTACCTTGAGCATAATCTCTTAAAGCAAGACTTTCGGAAAAAATAAAGGGTAAATTTTCTTCAACAATTAAATGAGACATACCAGTCAAATGTTTTTTATCATCATAGGAAAAATTACCAAAGGGTTGAGAATTTGAAAACCTTGATATTTGTGTTTGCTTCCCCTTTCCTTTGTCTATTTTCGCATACTCCACAAAGTGGGCGGACTAAAGATGTCTTTTGAGACTCCCGTATCCGCCAGAAATTCCCAAGCTAAACTCTTTCTTGCAATGATTGCAACTTGCGTACCATTTTTCGGTTTTTTCGTCTTTCCTTTTTGTATAATTGTTTTCAATAATAGCAGATTTAGATTTCTTACCAATTTGGGTTGTAGTCGTTGAAGGGCCCTCGTCCTCTTGCTCATCATCCGGAGTCCCGTCGCCCCCCGCGTCCTCCTCCCCATTGTCATCCTCGAGCTCCTCTTCATCGATGGTTGTCGGGAATTGTTGTTCTTGTGCAAAACGTGGATCATTTTGGGACAATAGGTGTTGTAGTTCCTCGTCGGACATCATCATACCATCTCGCCGTTGGTAATCCGTTTCAAAATCATCTCGACTTTGAAAAGAAGACTCGGCCCGCGCTTTACCTTTGCCTTTGCGTGAAGTAGATCGAGTCGATGCAATCTCCCTCTTGCGGTTGCGTTGGAGATTACCCACATCTACAGAATGTCTACCACGCTCCATCTTTAAAATTGAACAAATATTAGCAATTAACTAATATGAGAAATGTAAAAATTAACTAGTTTTGTTATTTTAATGAGATATGTAGCAATTAACTAATATGAGAAATGTAAAAATTAACTAGTTTTTTTACTTTAATGAGATATGTAGCAATTAACTAATATGAGAAATGTAAAATTGTAGCAATTAACTAATTAACTAATATGAGAAATGTAAAAATTAACTAGTTTTTTTTACTTTAATGAGATATGTAGCAATTAACTAATATGAGAAATGTAAAATTGTAGCAATTAGCTAATTAACTAATATGAGAAATGTAAAAATTAACTAGTTTTTTTTACTTTAATGAGATATGTAGCAATTAACTAATATGAGAAATGTAAAATTGTAGCAATTAACTAATTAACTAATATGAGAAATGTAAAAATTAACTAGTTTTTTTACTTTAATGAGATATGTAGCAATTAACTAATATGAGAAATGTAAAATTGTAGCAATTAACTAATTAACTAATATGAGAAATGTAAAAATGTAGCAATTAACTAATTAACTAATATGAGAAATGTACAAATGTAGCAATTAACTAATATGAGAAATGTAAAAATGTAGCAATTAACTAATTAACTAATATGAGAAATGTAAAAATGTAGCAATTAACTAATATGAGAAATGTAAAAATGTAGCAATTAACTAATTAACTAATATGAGAAATGTAACAATTAAGTAGTTTAACTAATATTAATATGACAAATGAAACAATTAACTTTAACTACTTTAACTAATATTAATATGACAAATGAAACAATTAAGTAATTAAATAGATAAACGAGAAGTGTATATATAAATCAAATGTATAACTATATATAGTATATATAAATATATAATGTGTAAATATATTATAAGTAATATATAATATAATGTATAACTATATATAGTATATATAAATATATAATGTGTAAATATATTATAAGTCATATATAATATAATGTATAACAATATATAGTATATAATATAATGCGTAAAGAATTATAATATGAATGTGTATAAGTATATATTTATAAGTAGATAATTAATATTATAATATATAAGTAGATATAATAATTATATAAATTATATATATGTAGAAAGAATTTGGAGAAGATGAAGAATGAAGATGATTGAATATGAGAGATTAAGAGAATAGAGAATTTAGATTTTAGAGAGTAGGAAGAGTTGTAGAAGAAGAGGTGTAAAAAATGTATAGAAAATAGGAGTATAAATAGGTTTTTTTTTGTATACCCCACCCCCACCCCCACCCCACCCCCTAACCCCCCAGACCCCCCTCCTATGCTCCCAACGGCTATAGAGCCGTTTGGGAGGTCTCCCAACGGCTAGTAGAGCCTTCAAATTTTTAATTTTTTTTTTGTGACCGTTGAGGCCCGGACCGGGCCCGGCCGGGCCGGTTCACCAAAATATCAGCCCGGGCCCGAACCGCTACATGACCGGGCCGGGTGGCCCGAACCGTGACCTAACCGACAAACCGGGCTGGTCCGGGCCCGCACAGTAGCGGGCCGGTCCGGTTCCGGCCCGGTTGGCCCGGCCCGAGTCCACTCCTATGCACAAACATTAAATTTCTCCACATTAAACTCCTACAACTAAAGTAAGTATAAAACTTAAAAAAAAGTTACTGATGTATGCATCAAGATGGAAGTAGTTAGACTACGATGCTTTGTAATTATAATGATTAGGATCTTGGGAAAGAAAAGAACATGTAAATTTCCTTCTTTTGATCATTAAGCATTGTTCCTAAATATTGGTGACAATCGGTTTGACTATGTGTAATCTTGTTTTTTAGTGACATATAAAATGCTTGATCACTATTATTTAATGTTAAGTTGATTTATAATGCTGATTGAATTATGGAATATTGTCCATAAGTAGACAATAACAAGTCCTTAATGTCTCAGGCGCAGACATTAAATTCCTACAGTTAATATAAGTACAAGCTTTAGCACAAAATTATGAACCAACTATGAAACTTGATAGATTCAACTCTTGAAATGAGATTTGGAAATATTTCCCATGCATAGGTACAATACAAATCACATGAATATGAACATAAAGGTCGATCTATACATTGCTTTTGAAGACAAAATACATGTATGAGTACAATCAGAGTGTTGATGTGTTCAATCAGTACTTCAGCAGCCTTCTGTCTTCAATTAG